TAATTATCTTAAAATATTTCCTGAGGGTTGTTAAGGGAATTTCTGATAAGTGTCTTGTATAAAGACACTCCCTTATGAACATGTTTTTCTGTGATCTTTCTTTAACCACAGAGAAAAATGTTTCCTTTGTTATGTAGTTAGGTCTGTCTAAGGATTTGACAGTTGCAGGAGAAATAAGTAAAAGCTAAGATGGAATTGGGGCTCAGACCTGAATTCTGATATGAGTCAAATGCCTCAAATTTTAGAACTCTTACACATTCCCTCCCTTTGATCAAGGATTTTGTTAACATCTTGCTAAAAGGGCATGGAGGCTACATCTTCTGACCTCCTATAGCTTCACAATAGGAAGACAGAATTACCATTGGCAGCCCAAGGCTTATTCCTATGAGGCCAGACATGCCACCACCCTCCAACCTTTTACGAATTCTGACACCAACCATCCCTCCCATGGCATGCACTACTGCTCTTCTGGGTTCAATAATTCGTTGTAGTGGCCACACAGAACTCACAGACAATACTTATGATTGTGGGGTTTATTAGGGAAGTAACAGGCTACAATTCAGGTTCAGGAACATGATCAGAATACAATGCTTTGATCAAGACAGTCTCCCCTCAGCTTTGCCCTCAGACATGCTTCTCTGGCCCTTGGCCTCTTAGCCTGGCCTTTGCCCTGCTAGGGTAAGTGTTACAAAGCTCTTTTAGCTCCGCCAATAGGTACACCTAGGTGTATCCCACTCTGGCAGCAAACCTCCTGCCCAAGGACCCTCAGCTTTCTTGCTCTGTGGGCCAAGTAAGGCCACCTCTCTGTCTCATGACTCTTGGTTCCAGTGCGACCATCTCTTTCTGCGAGGGCATCTCTTTTTGCTGGGGCATCTCTGCCAAGGAGGTCTAGTGCAGAAATCTCAGGTCCTACTTCACCTAGGTGAAGGGTGCACTCTACTTCACCTCTAGCTCTTCTCTCTTGATGGCACTGAGATCCCCCCTCTACCTCTAGAAAAGCTCATTTTAAGCCTGGCAGAGTGACATAACTAACCAATCCCAGCGTCAGAGTTCTACACACCTTATTTGCATGGTCCCACCCAGTAATTCAGTGGGAGTTTCAAAGACTACAGCTAGAAAAGCCATACCAAGTAATTCACTGCACCGCACATCCTTTGATTATTATTATATGAATACTTTCTTCTGCAAGGGCTTACCATGATGAAACATGATTCTTTAGATGACTGTTTACTTAGGTAAGCCTTTAAGACCTCTGAAACTACTATTTTATAGTTAGGCACCATTTGACCTCTTTGCTATTGCTTACCATTCAGCTTCTGTGATTTTAGACACAGGGGGTTGCTGTGTGGACTAAAGCCACATTAGAGGAACAGCTTGACTATTCAAAAGACTGGCTCAAGGTGGGAGCTAGAGTCCATTCGGAAAGTGGGTCTAATCTATGTGTATAATTTTCTTTATGTGTTACATTCGTGTTTTGCATCATAACATTGTTTATGTATTTTGTACATTTGATTATTCCAATAATTATTACCACAAATTTAATATAACTAATCAAGTTAGCAATGTAAATCATACCTCGGAAGGAAGGTTGGGCAATCTCCTTCCTTGGCGATACTGCCTCGGAAACCCTAGGAGGGGTCGCTATGAGTTGAATCTGATTCCACGGTGGTGTGTTTGGTTTGGTTTGGTAGCAATGTAGATCTAATCCAGGATCCAATACTTTTAAGTAAAGAGTGGAAAATATCAAACTAAGAGGATTCAGAGTCCTCTATATGTAACCATATAGCTTTTTTGACGAATTTTCTCAGTATCTTGTTCAACTTCATGGGTATTGTTAATCCATATGCAACAAGAATTGTTTGCTATACCACAAACACCTACTTGTTAGGCTAAAAGAAAGTCTAAGACTATTATAGGAGCTTTGGTGGCATAGTGCCTAAGGCATTTGACTGCTAACCAGAGGGCTGGCAGTGCAAACCCAATAGCCACTCCTCAGAAGGAAGGTTGGGCAATCTACTATCATAGTGATACCACCTCGGAAACCCAAGGAGGGGTTGCTATGAATCAGAAGACAATTATGTTGTTAAAACCATTTTTTGCAAGGAGTTTAAGGATTCTGTTGGACTGTAATTCCATCAGCGATTTTATTCATGATTTGTTCTATGGAGGCATACAAATTTTGGAATGCCTTCTCTAATTTTGCTACCCTATAAGAATAATAATCTTAAAAATCTATATCCCATCCTAGGTCTAAATTGGATGGGATTGTAGCACTTATAGTTATCAGTAGATCTCTTGTTCCAAATCAAGATTTTTAAACTGCTGGCCTAATGATTACTTTTATTATAGGAGTATGTTTCCAATGGGATGCCTAAGTGGCCTAAAGTACATTGGCCTGTCCTGTTCCATCCATCTAGACAGGGCAGTGCCCAAGATTGAAGTTCATCTCCTGGTTTGTTATAACACTATAGGGGTATTTTTGAATGCATTTTATTGAAATATAATTTATGTACAGTGAAATACACAAAACTAAAGTGACATGGGTCAATGCATCTTTTTTTTTTTTTTGCAGCATTCCCTCCCCTCCCCTCCCACCCCTGGCAACCAACAAAGAAAATTTCCCTCCATATATAAACCTTTCCTTGACCCTCCACAACAATGAACAAATACTATATTTGTCCTTCTGTGATTGACTTATTTCACTCAGCATAATATCCTCCAAGTTCATCCATATTATGTGGTGTTTTGCAGATTCTACATTATTCTTTAGTGCTGCATAGCATTCCAGTATGTGTATGTACCATAGTTTGGTCATCCACTCTTCTGCTGATGGGCACGTAGGTTGTGTCCATCTTTTTGCTATTGTAAATAGTGCTGCAATGAACATGAGTGTGCATATATCTGTTCCTGTCCCGGCTATCACCTCTCTAGGATATATACCTAGTAATGGGATTGCTGGGTCAAATGGTATCTCCAATTCCAGCTTCCTAAGGAATCACCATGTTTCTTTCCACAGTGGTTGTATCACTTCACAGTCCCACCAGCAGTGTATGAGAGTCCCAATCTCTCCACATCCCTGCCAGCATTTGTTATTTTCTGTCTTGTTGAACCTTGCCGTCAGCACTTGGGTGAGATGTTATCTCATTGTTATTTTGATTTATATCTCTCTGATGGCCAATGATTGTGAGCATCTCTTCATGTATCAGCTGGCCACCTGAATATCCTCCTTGGTGAAGTGTCTATTCATGTCTTCTGTCCATTTTTCAATCGGATTGTTAATTCCTTTGGTGTTTAGGTGTTGGAGTTTTCTATAAATCTTAGAGATAAGTCCCTTGGCAGACATGTAATTATCGGCAAATATATATTTGTTGCTGTCATTTTTGGTATGTCCTTTTTCATGGTGTTGATTTCTTCCTTCCTTATAATTTTCTATGCTGAGCTCGTTTTGTTTATGCATCGTGTTATCACTTCCTTTGTTGGTATTTGTTTTAGTATTTGCTAAATGTTTGTGCTGGTCTTCTTTTTTATTTTGATGTGAAGGGTTATCATTTTTCTTTGAGGTTACCCTGTGATTTATAGTTTTCTTCCCAAGTTTAGAACAGTATGTTCTATCTTGTAGTTGTCTTGGCATCCCTACCATCTAGAAGTTCTGTAACAACACAGTTTTTTCCCTCTTTTTGGTTTGTAGTTGTCCCCATTTGTCAATTGATGTTTCTGGTTCCCTGTTTACAACCTTGTAGGCTTATTTACTTTGGATACTTCCATAGCTGGGTTGGTTGCTGGGTTATGTCATCATGTGTGTTAATGGTCAGTTGTTGTTGGCTGTTGTTGCTTCTCTGTCCAGAGGACCCCCTTTAGCATCTCTTGTAAGGTTGGTCTGGTTTGAACAAATTCCCTTAATTTCTGCTTATCTGGAAAGGTCCTAATTTCACCATCATATTTGAGGGACAGTTTTGCTGGGTACATAATTCTTGGTTGGAAATTTTTCTCTTTCAGGGTTTTATATATACTGTCCCATTGTCTTCTCACCTGCATGGTTTCTGCCAAGAAATCTG